AAGTAGAACGTCTATCAGTTACATCACCTGCCCAATCAACATCAGTAAATCCTTCAATCCTCAGATGACCAGAATTTTTATACAAAATTCCTTTTCCTGGAGCCGACTTCAAATAAGCTAAAATCCTCATAACAGCTGCCATATGATCCACACTTGGCGAGTGCATAAACTGACTCACCACACTCACTGCATAGGCTATATCTGGACGGGTATGAGCTAAATAAATTAGTCTTCCTACCAGTCTCTGATATCTGCCTTTATTCACTGGTTCTTGATCCAGATAAATTCCCAAGTAATGTTTCTCCACAATGGGAGTATCTACAGGTTTACACCCAAGAATCCTTGTTTCCTTCAATAAATCCAGAACATATTTACGTTGAGACAAGAAAATACCTCTAGATGACCGAGCAACTTCCACGCCAAGAAAATATTTCAAATCTCCCAAATTCTTCATCTCGAACTCGATGGCAAGGTTTTGTTCTAGCTTCATCATCTCTTCCGAATCATCACCTGTTATTATCATGTCATCCACATAAATAATTAAAGCTGTCACTTTACCACTTCCTCGTTTCACAAATAATGTATGATCTGAGTGACTTTGATAATACCCAATCCGCCTCATAACTTGGGTAAATCTACCAAACCACGCACGAGGCGATTGCTTAAGTCCATAGAGTGACTTTCACAACCTACATACTTCTGTTTTCCCTCCGGCATCGTACCCCGGAGGAAAATCCATATACCTGTTCTTCCAAGTGCCCATGAAGAAAAGCATTTTTCACATCAAACTGTTTTAGTGGCCAATTCAAATTTGCAGCTAAAGAAATCAGAACTCATACTGTATTCATCTTCGCTACTGGAGAAAATGTCTCTTGATAATCAACACCATAAGTTTGAGTATAACCTTTTGCTACTAACATTGCTTTATACATGTCTACCGATCCGTCTGCCTTGTATTTGATCGTAAAGACCCATCTACACCCAACTGGTTTCTTTCCTTTAGGTAGCTCCGTTACCTCCCATGTATCATTCTTATGTAGTGCCATCATTTCCTCATCCATCGCAATAGCCCATTTAGGATCCTTCAAGACCTTCTTAACTTGGGTTAGTGCTTGGATTGCTTCCACATTGTTTACCCAGGCTTGACGTTCTGGTGTAAGGTTTGAGCATGACACATAATTAGCTATTGGATACTTCACTTTTCCTTCAGGAGAAAACCTGTCAGGAGGAACACCATAATTTTTCCTTGGCGGCAACTTATATGTACTCATAACATTATCTGGATTAGTTACATGAGTATTAGTAGTACTTACCTCAGGAATATTCAGAGAAGACATATTGGGTGGCACTATTGAGCTTGAGAGAGAGGGGGTTGCAGGTTCGATAGCTAATGGTTGCTGGAGCGGTGAAACTGGTTCGGCAACTCCTTGCTGACACTCTGCATCACACTTGGCAACACATTGCCTAGAAGACTCAACTGGTTCAGTGCTACTTGGCTGAATGATACTCACATTCTCGGCAGTGTCTTGCCGAGATTCACCGTCTCCATTCTCGGCAGTGTCTTGCCGAGAGCTTTCACAATATTTTTTGTCAATAAATACTCCCCTTGAGCTACATATTTCCAACCACCCAAGATCACCACTCATATTCTCCCCCAGGTGATCGGAAGGTGATGGAGTCGAAACATAAAAGAACTCGGATTCAGAAAAGGTAACATCCATAGTTACATACATATGACAAGTTTCAGGGTGGTAGCACTTATACCCTTTCTGTTGAGGAGCAAATCCCAGAAAAAACACAACGGTGAGCACATGGATCGAGCTTACTACGATGAATCTTGTGAATATGAACATAGGCTACACACCCAAATACACAAGGAGAAAGAGTATTGGTTGACACTACTGGAACAAATTCTGTCAATACTTGGAGAGGTGTACAAAAACCCACAACCCGGGATGGCATACGGTTAATCACATACACGGCATAAGTGACAGCTTCAAGCCAAAACCGTTTAGGTACAGATGCACCAATGAGCAAGGCACAGGCAGTTTCTAGGATATGACGATTCTTTCTTTTAGCAACCCCATTTTGTTGTGGGGTATGAGGGCAAATAGTCTCATGTAGAATTCCTTGGTCCCGAAAAAAGTTGGACAACTCGAAACCAATATACTCACCTCCATTATTAGAGCGAAGAACCTTAATAACAGAGGAATATTGTGTTGCAACCATTTGAAAGAATGATCGAAACACCATACCCACATCACTTTTATTCTTCATCACATAAATCCAAGTCATACGAGTGCAATCATCAACGAAGGTAACAAACCATTTAATTCTAGACAAAGTACTAACAGGAGAAAGACCCCAAACATCAGAGTGCACAAGTTCAAAAGGAAACAATCTTTTATTCATACTAGGAGGAAACGAAACGCGATGACTCTTCGCGAGAATACATACCTCACCATGTAAGTCTGATTCTTTTATTTCATGAAATAAACTAGGCAACATACGCCTCAAATACCCAAACGAAGCATGTCCTAACCGACGATGCAATAACCAAACTTCATGTAAATTATTGGTACGGGATGCTTGAACTGCATTAGCTCTGCCAGGAACGACGTCATCCACATAATATAACCCCTATCTCTTAGTGCCACGTCCAATTATCTCATTGGTCTGAATATCCTGAAGCAAACAAAACAGTGGATACATAAGTACAACACAGTCTAATTGCTCAGTAACTTGAGGAATAGATAACAAATTATGAGACAACGAGGGAACAAGCAGGCAGTGATGAAGGGGAAGGGCTGGCGTGAGGTTCACAGTGCCGGCCCCCAAAACTGGTGCTGTTGTTCCGGTAGCAGTTGCAATACACTTCCATGAACTGGTTGTCATACTAGTAAATAAATTCTTATCAAAAGTCATATGATCGGTTGCACCTGAGTCCAGAATCCAACCTACATTCGTCATTGTAATAACTTACGAGACAATAATACACGACAATCACAATACCACACCAATTATAGAACCACACACTGCAAAGGAAAAACAAGCAGTAGACTCCATGGATAAAACTTGTAGATACTCAGCAAAACTAATATAATAACATACGGACAATAACAACACTATAATAGCAGCACGCCACTGAGAGCTTTTGTGATTGTTGATGCATGACAACTAGAAAAACCAGAGCACACGGCAACAAAAAAAAAAAAAAAAATAGCAACACGTTGTCAAGCTGCAATTCAGACAGCAGCCAAGCCCCTTTTTTTTCTTTCCCTTTTTTTATTTATCAACTCTAGCAGAAAAAACCTTATTGGCACAGCAATACGCTGCATACTGAACTGCAGTCGGTTTCCTGCGGCAAGGATGCAGCAACAGATACGGTACAACACAGAAAAAAACACACACACACGTCACAGCAATACGCTGCACATTGAACTGCAGTCGGTTTCCTGCGGCAACAATACACGGGCAGCAGTCTAGGCTTGCTGCAGGGATGCGGCAGAGACAGCAGACTGCCGGACCTTCTGTTTGGATCAAAACTTGAACTTTGGGCTCAAGAAAGGAGCTGGCCTAAAAGGAGGCCCGAAAGGGAAGACAGCTGAAGCCCAGTCAAAGCCCAGAAGGCAGAAATGGCCTTTTTTGACTTGGTGCAGCTCATAAAGACCACTTGCTTACCTACCCAAGGGCCAAGTGGTATAGACTGATCAGCTACACAGCCCATAAAGTACTTTATGATGGCAGTACATGTAAAAAAACTAATGAGTCATCACCCTCAAACCACATTCGGGCAAGGCTGCTGCTACAGGAGGCCAAGCCGAGTTGTCTATATAAGAAGAAAGAGAAACCAGGAATAAGGACACTCAAACAAACAAACAAGCACAAACTCTGCTCAAACCAGATTTGCCAAAAGCCTTCTTTTATCTTGTTTATTAGCTCTGCTGCTCACTTGCGGTATCGATCTCATTTGTAGCTTTTATGTACTCATTTCTAGCCATATAAATTACAAGCAATCTGCAATTTTAGTCACTTTCCTCTGTCATTTATATTTCCAAGCAACCTTGTCATTTACATATTGTTCTATCTCTCCATATAAGTAAAGTCCTTATTTTTAAGGCAAACAAAGAACCTTAATTTGAGCAACTCCCACTCAAATGGCACAATCTCTTGATTTGAAGTCAAAAGGCGCAACCTCAATCATTCAAATCCTGTCTACTAGCGGCATCTAGTAGTGGCACGCCCGCACCCACCAATCTCGTATGTGAAGTAAATCCCCGGCTTGCCCGCAAGGCGCCATGGCGGATTTAGGGAGCGAACACCTTCTTTGTTTTTTTTGATTTCACGGTAGCAGCGGCACAGTGGGAGTTCTAGGGTTACGGTTGGCTCTGATGCCAAATTGAATTTTACGGCTTAATTTTTATTGTATTGCATAATAGACAATATATACAAGATACAATCCTTGTTCTATAAGGAAACAATAAATGACACACAACTATCCTTCCTAATAAAGAATTTTAATATTTACAATATATTTACATACCCTTTTTAATACCACTCACGTTAACAATGGGAAGGAACAAAGCAGCTTTCAGATCTGTTCTCCCCACATTATCAGACATTATTCATAATTTAAATTTAACTTTATAATAAGTGGTCATTTAATTTTATTTTTTCGTATTTTTTCTTTTGCTGTAGAATTAAGATCAAATGGGATGATCACAATTTTTTTAAACTTTGGGTCCAAGAAAACTTTACTCTTCATTAGCTTAGCTAGTTAAAAGACTTACAATGATCGAGATGTCATCGTGACAATAAATTCTTGTATTTTTTAATAATTATGCTCACAAAATTATCGTAAAAATAGTTATGCTCATAGAATATCTACCTCTTATCCAATAGTACACGTTCGACAAAGAAAGAGATTTTTGCCAAAATGCCCATGCATGTCAACCATGCATTTCCTCCACTAGAACAAATTTACAAGTAGTAAAATTGGGCCAAAAAAGAAAACTACAAAGTAGATTATCACAAAATAATTAACAGGGATGTGAGAATATGCATGTGTACCAGTGTTTGTGACTTTGTTTCTCAGAGAGAGAGAGAGAGAGGATGAACATGAGCATGAAGATTTTACTTCCTTTTATTGGAATGGTGATGGCGATTATGGCTCAGACTGGGAGTGTGGTAGTAAACAAAGCAGCGATGTCCACAGGGACCAATGCATACATCATCGTCGTCTATGCCAACGCGGTCGCCGCCCTCATTCTTCTCCCTTCTGCTCTCATCTTCCACAGGTTAATTGTATATAATCCTTCCTTCTTTCGTGCATACAAATTATTTGATCAAATCAGCTGATTTATTATTTTACTGTACTTCTGCTCCGTCTCTCTCTAAAGTCTTGATAGTATTATTGTTCAGAGCGAATCCCAAATCTGAGGGACTTTGCATGTGCTAATTAGTAAATTGGATTACTCCTCGTATTGTCAATTGGTTTTATGATGGAACCCAACTTTCTTTAACTATCCTTTTCTTTTCTTTTTTCTTTTCACTTTGATTTTCTGGTTACTAGCAGATCGGAGCGCCCTCCCCTTACATTCTCCATACTCTGCAGAATCTTCTTGCTTGGCCTGTTTTGGTAGGTAACATACTAATTAATTACATGTGAATTATAATTTAATTACAATTTTTTAGAAATTTAATCAGAGATCATCATATGTGCAGTTGTTCAGCACAAATATTTGGAAATATTGGCATAGAATACAGCTCTCCCACGCTTAGCACGGCCATGCTTAACCTCATCCCAGCTTTTCTTTCGTACTTGCCATAATTTTTAGGTACTAATTTTCTTCCCCTTTTTCTTGATAGTGAGAGAGTAATAATATTTGTTTGAATTTTGGGGGACCAGCACTATATATAGTGCTTCTCAGTAATTATGTAATTAAGTTCTTTTGAACTGATGGCAAGTACTGTTACTGTACGACTATGACTAAAGATATTAAACTCTCTTCAAAGTTGATTTTCTTATAAAATCCAATTAGAACGGGTGTATCCATCTAAACACAGGAGTTGGTGATGAGAAATACTGCTCAAGTACCTCCTTCTCGACTCCAATTGGCTTGAAAATTTTATAATAGATTTCATATTCAAAACTAGAGTGTGGAAAAAGACTTATTACTACAGCTTTTATAGTAGTTAGTAAAGTACGGGACGAGAAAAAAAATTGAATAGAAAAATAATTATGTGAAAACACGTAAGAACTTTAATACGTAGTACATTCAATTTTAATCATGTACTTTTCTGCATCATTGATATAGAGAACATAAATTATTTTTCAAAAATGTGTATGTGCGTCTATATTATAAGCTTTTCTTATATAAATAGGGTTTTTATTACTTCGTTTTAGTTGAAACTTCAAAGGGTCAGCTGCCTGTATGGGTATGCACGCTCCATTGTTACACTGATTGGAAGAGAAAATGAAAGTGATGGAATTAGATTAACATTTTATGTTACGTAGAGGTAATTAGCATGCATTGCTTCAAATGAGTATTTAGGATGGAAACTGTAAACTGGAGAAGCTCAAGCAGCCAAGCAAAAGTTTTTGGAACCGTAATGTCAATCGGAGGAGCATTTGTTGTAACATTTTACAAAGGTCTACCGATCATACGGCTATCTGCATCACTTCCTAATTCACTCTATCAAATCTTTTCCTCATCAAGATCAAACTGGATCCTCGGAGGGCTTTTTCTTGCAGTTCACGCCTTCTCAATTTCTTTATGGTACATTCTGCAGGTAACTACCCCTAATATTCAGCTACCCTTTATAAAGCTGAAAGTAAAGAACAAGCGAATTATAACAAGTTTTACTTCTATTCGTTTTTCTTTCAAAATTCCAAATGTTTGCATTGCAGGCAACGGTCGTTAAGAAGTACCCCGCAATTTTGCTATCAGTCTTTTTCCAATGCTTATTCGCAACCATTCAGTCTGCAATATTTGCTTTAATTGCAGTTAGAGATGCAAGTGCCTGGGAAATAAGGCTGGATGTGGGGTTGATTGCTGTTTTATACACTGTAAGCAATTTTTTACGCTGTAGCATTTACTCAGTATTTGGAAGTGATCTAGCATAACCCCTTAATTAGAATTATTAATTTTTGAGTTGTATGCATGTATTCTAGCGTATTTGAGTATACGGGTTGATTATTATGTTAAAATATTTTTTTTATTATCATACAGGGAATTGTTGCGACGGTTCTTTATTTCAGTGTAATTGTCTGGTGTGTAGAAAAGGTTGGAGCTTTTTATTGTTCTATGTTTAAGCCTCTTGGCATAATTTTTGGTGTGATCATGGGTGCCATATTTTTGGGAGATTCATTCTACCTTGGAAGGTATAAATTAATATTGTTGTTCATATCAATTGTACAACCTCTTGTGTTTGATTTTGTATGATATTTAATCATTGAAAGTTGGTGAAAGCTACAGCTTGTTGACAACGTCTTTGGGTTGTTAGAAAATCTAGCTCACGAATCACGATTAAGAAATAATACATTCTTATTAGCAAATTAATGATGATTATAGAACAACTTTGCAGTTTGGTTGGTGCAGCCATAATCGTTACTGGATTTTATGCCATGATGTGGGGGAAGGCCACAGAAGAGAAGCTGATCGAAATAGAATCACTGCACCAAAATAAGCTCCCTTTGCTACAAAACGGGATACAAGACAAGAGAAGCAGAAGTATTGGTGCACAACTGTCCTATGTAAACACACATCTCAACTCCTGGTTCACAGGGTTATCTCCACCTTAACCATCTAGGTGAAAAGTCTAATGAACTTTTCATCATATAAAACTTATGTGCAATTAGGACATAAACTTTTAACTTGTAAAGTGTAAATTATTATGTCGCTCTTTTAATCTAAGACTTACACATCATGACTTATGCTATATCGAGCCCATTACACCTGCAACATGAGAACTAATTAAAAAATTGTTAACATGAAGGAATAAGAGTGAATTTCTAGTTGGAAGCATTTTATGGCTCATAAAAAATTGGAAATGAGATACATTTTATCAATTCAAAATGTGACATCAAAGAAAAGGTATGAAATTCAGTGAACATTTCAAAAAGGTACATAAAATTTTAGGGTAAATATCAGTTTACTACTCTCAAATTTCGTAGTTTTCAACATTTAGTATATGAAGTTTTTTACGTCCCAAAGTCATACCTAAAGTGTTAATTTTGGGACAATATCATACATCTGTTAGTTTGACTGTTAAGTCTCCCGTTAATTGATGATGTGGCACCCATGTGGACAATGACTGGGCGGCACGTGTCATTAACAAAAAAATTTATAAATTTAAAATTTAAAATTTAAAAAAAAAAAAAACAAACCACACCCAAAACTTCGTCTTCCCCTACCCTCCACCCCTCCATCCCCCACCACTCTTTCTTTGGATATATAAAGCCTACCCGTCTCTCACATTTTTCCACATTCGAGACATGCACAAACATATTTTCCTTTTCATTTTGGACACTTTCTTTGTGATTTTCTCAGAAGCCAAACATTCTCAACGATGGCCGATTAGCTCACCGACGACCAGATCTCCGAGTTCAAGGAGGCGTTCAGCCTATTCGACAAGGACGGCGATGGTCTCGTTCTCAGATCCCTCTCTCTCTCTCTCTCTCTCTTTCTTTCCCTTTTGTTCTTATTATGCCTAATTAATCTATGATATTTGGATCTAAAGCTGTTTTTGCACCAAACCTTAAACTTTTTCTGGTGAAAATTTGTGATTGATTGAGTATTTTTCAGAGATTGAATTGATTTATCATCCTCCGAGTCTGTTTTGATCGTTGAGGATAAGATCTGTTAGATTTGAGGTTAAATGTGTGGAATTTAAATATATGGATAGATTATGATTCTCATTTTCGTTTCCTCCATCGTTTGGATTATCCAATTTTTGGTAAAAGTGGGTCTTTGATTCAATTTCTCTATTATGGTTTTGGAGATGAAAAATTAATTATTCTTGTATTGGGATGGAGGGGTGAAGGGGATGAGGGGTGGAGCCGTGGAGGGGGTGGAGGGGTGGAGCTGTGGAGGGGGGGGGAAGACGAAGGGGTTCTAGGTGTGTGGGATGGAGGGGTGGAGGGTGGGGGAAGACGAAGGGTTCTGGGTGTTTGTGTGTGTGTGTGTTTTAATTAACTATTTTATGAGCACCACGTCATCAGTTAACGGGAGACTTAACAGCCAGACTAACGAATGTACGAGACTGTCCCAAAATTAACACTTTAGGTATGATTCTGGGACAAAAAAAACTTCATGTACTAAATGTTGAAAACCACAAAACTTGAGGGTAGTAAACTGATATTTACCCAAAATTTTAATATTTTTTGTAACAAAGTAAAATAGTGCAGTTAGACTAAATGACGATGTGTCATCAAGAGATTTTCTCATACAATTAAGATTTTGTTATAATGTCAATGTCGCTTATCACATATTCAAATAATGTCCTATCCATTTAATAAACGATTATTACGTGACAAAGTGATTACATAAAAATACTAAGGGTATTCACACAATTTTTTTTTTTACTTTCCACTTATTCGGTTAGTTTTTGTCATTTAATCATCCTTATCCATCCGATCCAACGGTTAAAATTTCAAAAGATGTATGAAAGATAAAATGGTATGTAAATAGTACCGGCCCTAAAAAAATCTCTCGGAAGCTCGTAAATTTGATTCTTCCCATTTAAACTAATTTCTTTTATCTACCATTTAGTACTATAATCTAGTGATATTCATTTTTACTTATAAGTGAGAAGTCTTACATTCGATTCTCGTCAAATGTGAATTTGAACCATATTATTACTAGCCTATTGTATAGATAATATCGTTTTTTTAAATAAATAATAATTTCTTTAATCTAAACAAAAAAAACAAACGATGTTTCGGCTAGATTCATAATGAACCTAACCAGATTGTGAATAAAAGAATCGTTTCACGTTTTCGACGGCTTCCCACCCACTTGACTTGACTACGCCACCATGACCATGCAATTGGGTGCTTAAACAATCAAATTCTAATTAGAGTTTGTCTTCACCCTCCATATTATTTGATTGACTCCCACTAGACTCGCCTTCTGCGAACTCCATGTCTGCATCTTCCTGTGAGAAATTTTGGTTCTGAAATTGAAGAAAAAAGCAGAGTTATGGGAAGGATCGCAGCACTGCCCATTGTTGGGATGGTGTTGGCTGAGTGTGCACAAGCTGGGCTAATTATAATAAGCAAAATAGCCATGTCCAATGGCATGAGCAACCTCATCTTCCTCTGCTACTCCAACGCACTCGCCGCCCTCATTCTCCTCCCAATTTCTCTAGTCTTCCACAGGTAATTACTTAAATTTCACTCTTACTCAACTACCCAGAAGCCAAAGATGTAGTTTTTCACTCGGGTTTTTTACTTTGATCACAAAGGTAATCAAATAATCTCACTGTTTCTCAACTACCTAGAAACCAAAGATTTGATTTTTCACTGTGGTGTGTTTGTTAGATCTGAGCGTCCTCCTCTCACTATCTCGATAATCGGATGGTTCTTCTTGCTTGGTTTAATTGGGTAAGTTAATAATTTCATCTGTTTGATGAAATCCCCATGTTAGAAATTACTGAAGGTTGCATTTTTATTTTGTTTGTGAGTGTGTGATTAGTGGGATTTTGTTTAATGGGTTTGATTGATAATTTGATATTAGGGTTTTGCAGATTCATGGCGCAGTTTCTTGGGTATGCTGGGATTAATTTTAGTTCTCCTACTCTGAGTACAGCTATGCTCAACCTCATTCCAGCTTTTACCTTTGTACTTGCAGTTATCTTCAGGTTATGCCCTCCTCTTTTTACTCACACTGCAAATTGTGATCACCCTGGTTTTTCCTTTAGACAAGACGATATTTTAAACTACTCTAAAGATAATCCATGGGGAGGGGAATTCGAGCTCAGGTGCAAGTGGGGAGGGCACACTGCTTTGACCAGCTGACCTCAAAATCCTTGTTTTTCTTTTCTTTATTCTGAAGTCTAATTTATCACAATTGTCTTATTTTGTTAGTAAGTCCTTACCTTAGTAATGTGTAGCTCTTCTGTTCTTAGAGGTATTTGTAGAAGAGCCAGTGTAAATATTTGATTATCTTGTTTGTTTCCAATGAGAATTTCAGCTGATGAGCTTTCTCTCCTTAAAGATACAATAAAATTCTTAGACAGTGGTAGACTGGTAATCTTACACTGTCACCGATTTCTAAATTCGATGAACTGGATGATTTCAGAATGGAAAGAATTGACATGAGAAGCTTCAGTAGCCTAGCCAAAACAGTGGGAACAATAGTTTCAATTTCAGGGGCTTTCATTGTGACTCTTTACAAGGGACCCCCAATTCTGAAGACATCCTCAAGTGTTATGACTGATGTGTTGTCTCATAAACAACTTATCTCAGAACGGTCAAACTGGGTACTTGGAGGAGTGTGTGTAGCGGCTAATTGTGTGTTGGCCTCAGCTTGGATTATCGTACAGGTGAAATCTGTAAAATTTACTTAAACGCTCATGAAGGGGTGGAATTTGGTTAGAAACTAAGACTGCTTCCTATTCCGTTTTTCTGTGTTTCAGGCATCAGTCCTAAAGAAATACCGCGCCGAGCTGATCATGGTCTTTTATTATTGCTTCTTTGTTGCTATTCAATCTGTAGTAGTCTCTTCAATTTTAGAAAGAGACCTGCGTTCGTGGGAATTAACTCCTAAAATCAGGTGGATCGCTGTTCTATACTCGGTAATTAGATAACTAAACACAGCCCTGATATACCTATCGGATGTAATATTTTCCAACACATGAACCTAAGTTGCTAAGTTATACTATTGCAGGCAGTGTTTGGCTCAGCATTCCAGGTTGGTGTATCTACTTGGTGCCTTAGAAGGACAGGGCCTGTTTTCGTAGCTATGTTCAAGCCTTTGGGGATTATCGTTACAGTTTTCATTGGTGTTACCTTCTTAGGGGATACTTTCTACCTTGGGAGGTAGGGTTTCAATCTTTATTCCCTGTAACTACCTTATCAATATGTTGTCGATTGAGAGGCACCAATTTTGTTTGTGTTGAAAATTGCAAAAAGGACATAATTTAGCTTCTCAATTTACATTTGCTAAATGCTGCAGTTTGATAGGGGCAATTGTTATTGTCATTGGATTTTATTCTGTGATGTGGGGCAAAGCCAACGAAGAGAAGATGGATGAGGATGCAGGGGAAGAGAGCCTGGCATCAATCAAACAGCAGGTCCCTCTATTGCAAAGCCACATTGAAGAAATATAGAAGTTTTTTTTTCAGTTGATCACCCTGTGAGGTCTCTCTTGCCAAACAAAATGGTAATCTCTGTTGCTTTTGTCAGTTCTTTTAGAATGCTACCCCTTCCTTGATCCCCGAAAACTGGGATATGTTATTGTGGGATTGGTTTGCTCAGGCCGTGACTAGTGAGTGTAAGTCACCCTACGTAATGCAGTTGCAATGAAGATCCATTTGTTATTGGAATCCTATATACATTGATTCAAACACAGTGTGTTGGTGTAAACTGAGCATAGCTGCAAATTCGCTGCAAACGTGAGTTGTCATGAGAAGCATGCCATGCCCATTGGCACTGATACTAACGAAATATTATGACTCCCCTGTTTCAGTTTATATATTGTCCAAGAGAGTAGAAATCTCAAAAGACAATGCAAGCTCATGTATCTTACATTAGCTGTCTCCTCCTGCAATGAGGAGCCAGTTTTCTTGCCTGGCCGTTAATCAACCTTTCGAGCTACTAAAGCGTTTGTGAATAATTTGTAGAGTTTCTATGTATTTTCTATTGTCAACGCACTGGTATCGTACTTAAACTTCAACAATTTTCCAATGAGTTGCAGATATGTTTGATGTTTTCCTGCATAGATATTCTTAAGAAAGTTTGCTTGTTAGTTTTGTTAAGTCTTCTTCATAACATGCACTGATCTGACGGAAAAGGTTTGCGAAAAGAATATTAAACAGGAAATAACTGTTGATTTTCCATGGATAATGTAGGGTCATCATGGACATGGGGAGCATGATCACAGATATCAGCAGCAGGAGTTGAACATTGAGTTTGCAGGGTCAAAGCTGTCTTAAGATAACCACAACAACACAACGTGCATGTGAAAAGCAGCTCCTTATTTGGAAATGAATAGATGTGTGGCAAAGGCCAAAGTTATTGAAGTTCCATATTTGATTGTTTACACTTAATCAAATAAAATATGAAGCTTGTATAAACTTATACCATTATTCTGATTAATGACTAGTAGTGTGGGCATAGGCTTTTCCTACTTTCAAATGTGATAGCCTGCTAGGTGAGTTCAAATTGAAATGCAGGGTTATCTGGACGTAAGAACGTATTCGTGCAGTTGGGAATTCGGTTGTGGAAATTTGCTAATCTGTTGAAATGGGGGTGTGGGATTCAGCTCAAGAATCCGCCATTTTCTTTTAAGAACAAAAATGCAGGAGAAAAGTAATTAAGGAAGAGTTACTGCTATTTTCTCAGTAACTCCTCCTGAAGCCTGAGCTGAGCTTTAAAGGTTGACATAAAATCACATCCAAAATATTATCAGAAAAAAACAAAGCACCACCATTGATCCTTGTTATGAACTTATAGCTGAGTAATTGGGTGGACTTATTAGCTTTAATTTAACAACATTTCTTGGCAAGGCTGTTTGAAATGTTGTAAGGAAAATCTCCAGGAGTGCAGGCCAGGACTATATTTTCTAGCTGTGAAAAAGAAAAGGAAAGGAAAAAAAAATAGTGGCAATAACACAATATAAAGAAGTTACACTTTTTTTTTTCTTTTTTGGGAAACCTCGACGGTACGAGGGAAATTTTAGATAACGAAAAAAGAAGTTACACATAGTCAGGGCGGGACATAAACCTTACGCCTCATAAAATAGAGATAACAAAAACAATACACGAAAAAAAATGAGGGACATAAACCGTACCCTTCTAGAAACGAAAACAAGAGAGATACAAAGAAAAGTGGGGGGACATGAAACCTAACTCCTCTAAAACCAAACCTAAAGGTCTAAACCTGCAAAACAAGTTGAGCAACACCACAAAGTTAGGGAAAAAAAAAAGTGAGACAAACCTAGATGCCAAGATGCACATTAATGCACAAATGAACAAATTGAAATGTAAAAAATACCTCATTTACTCACACTTCAACTGTCAATTACAACATCATTGATATCATTTGGGGTCATCACAAAAGCTTCAGGCCGAGGACAGAAGGTCCCTGATGGATTGCATCTCAGTTACAACATCACTCATATCCTTTCGGTCTCTCGGGGATTCATCAGAGCACGAGATTCCGATATTAAATATTGAACTCAAACACACTTGGATTTTTTCAGCACTGATGATGCTGCTTTGGTTGGAAGTAATAGGGTCGAATAGTGAATCTGCAATTTCTGCAACTCGATGTGGCAAATCCATCTTTACAAAATTGTGAAGGTTCAAGCCGTCACTAAACATAGGGTCGGTGGGTCTCTTCCCTGTAAACATCTCTAACAAGAGAATACCAAAGCTGTAGACATCCCCACATGTTGCAATCTTGCTTCCCATGCCATACTCTACAATTCAAACATCACAAAAGAGCAACATGAACTCGTTAGTTAATTAACTTTATTTTTCCAGCCAAGTAAATGAATGAACAAAATGAAAACAGAGAAGCACATGAAGATGTTTACCTGGAGCAGCATAACCAACCGTTCCTCGTATTCCAATGGAACTTGTCTGACTTTCCGCAACGCTACTGGTCAGGTTTGAGAGAAATCTTGCCAGTCCAAAATCAGAAACAAGTCCAGTCAAGTCGTTTCCCAAAAGAACATTGCTAGGCTTGAGATCACAATGGACAATTGGTGCCTCGCAGTGATTATGAAGATAATCCAATGCACAAGCAACATCAATGGCAATGTCTAGCCTCTGAAGAAAACTTAAATTTTTGGGTGTTCCGGCTGTTGGATGCAACCACTCCTCTAAGCTCCCATTGTCCACGAGCTCATAAACTAAAGCCTTGAAATTATTACCAGAAAAGTCCACACTTGAACAAGCCGTTACAACCTTGACAAGATTCCGATGTCTGATATTTCTCATCGCCTCACATTCGGCTATGAAACTCTTAGAGGCTCCCTGGCGTAACATGTTAAACACCTTGACCGCTACAAGCTGACGAGTTCCATTGTCATCATCAAGAACTCCTTTATACACGGACCCGAAGCTGCCCATGCCAATCAGATTAGTTGAGGAGAACCCATCAGTAGCCTTCAAGAGGGCGTTATATGACACTTGAAAAGTAGAGTTCCCCAAAGCACTTGGACCTGCTCCTTTCCCTTTCTTTCTTGATGAACGAACAAACAGTAATGACAACACTATAACCATTCCCAGAAAGGCAAACCCAGCTACAAAAGAGATTATTAGTTTCAATCTAGGAGACAATCTGCCCTTATTCTTGCACTTGGGAAGTTGGAGATTACCAATATCGCTACAGAGCCCGGTGTTTCCAACAATTGAAGTTGCAGTTGCATTTTTGAAAACACCTTCAATCGGTACTGTTCCCGAAAGTCGATTGAAAAATAGGTTGAGATTCTTCAAGAAAGCAAAGCCCTCCAAAAACTTTGGAATTTCGCCGGACAAATTGTTGCGAGAAAGGTCTAAATCCTCAATCCCTCTCAATGAACTCAATGAAGAAGGAATGGTCCCGTTGAAGAAGTTGCCTTGAAAGTGTAGGACTTCTAAATCTACACAACCTCCAAGAGTATTGGGAAGTTCTCCTGACAAGAAGTTGTCCGAGAAGTCCAATTTGCCTAAACTGCTCAATTTCCCGATCTCCAATGGAAGAGAACCGGTTAAGCGGTTTCTAGACAAGTTGAACGAAAGCGATAAGGAGGTGAGCTCAAAAACTTGCTGAGGTATTGTGTCATTGAGGTTATTTTGCGAAATATCCAATTGCAATAGGCTCTGGCATTTCCCTAGGCTTGAAGGGATGTCACCATGAAGATTATTTCCTTGCAATTCAAGTGTATCTAGCATCGTTAAATTTCCTAGAGTGGATGGAATGCTCCCTGATAATTTGTTGGTAAAAAGACGCAACTTCCGAAGCCTTGTAAGCTTGCCAATATCAGTGGGGTTATTACCTGTCAAGTGGTTATTCCCCATAACTAATAATTTCAAGCTGACTAGACTGGTTATCCCGGCTGGGATGTTTCCATAGAGTTGGTTTCCTCCAACCCAAAGGATTTCAAGCGTGGTTGAGAGATTGGATATGGCTGTGGGCAGCACCCCTCCAAAATTGTTAGTCTGTGTAACCAACCACCTAAACTTCGTGGCATTGCTCAAGTCCGAAACAAAACTCAAGTCCCCATTTGTACCGGTTCCAAGGCGGTTTGAATCTAGAAGGAGCGTTTCGAGGTTACAAAGCTTTTGTAGATTTGGAACTTGTCCGGTTAGTTTGTTATCTGAAACTTCAAATTGCACTAGATTTGTGGCATTGGATATTGATATAGGAATGGACCCTGAGAATTGATTCCCGGTAATGTGAAATACTTTGAGATTTGGAAAATTGTAGCCAATTCTCTGGGAATAGTCCCTTGAATTGAGTTGAATGCGATGGAAAAAATAGCTAGATTAGAGAGATTATAAATGGAGGGAGGGACAATACCAGACAACTTATTTGAACCTAATGAGAAAAATCTCAATTTTTTCAACTGACCTAGGGAACTAGGGATGTCACCTGACAAGTGATTGTCGTAAAATGCAAAAACATCAAGTGATGAAATGTTCCCCAAGGAATCAGGGATTGCCCCTGACAAAGTGTTGCGTTGAAGAACAAGTTTTTCAAGTTTAGGAAAGGAGCCAAACTCTATAGGAATTTTACCCACCAAATGATTGAAGCCTGAATGGAAACCGATGAGGTCAAGACAATTGGACATATTGACAGGAATAACACCACTGAGTGAGTTTTGGGTCAAATTTAATACCTGCAATCTGCGCAAACGCCCCATTTCTGGTGGAATTTGACCCGACAAACGGTTGTCGCTCAAACGTAGTACCCTGAGGAAGCTTAGATTTCCTATGTGTGGGGATATGGTACCCACCAAGTTTTGGTTCCCTAGGTTTAACCTAGTGATCCTTTGGTGATGTCGTTGGCTGCATGTGACACCTTGCCATAGGCAGAAGTGATATGATTCGTTCCATGAACTCAGGAACTGGTCGGGGTCCTCCTTTATCTGCGCTTTGATGGCCAACAACGCCATCCTGTCTGTTTCGTTCCCGCCTAGTTCGGATGCATGGAGAAGCTGAAGCAGCAGAGAAATACGTTAAAAAGTGAGTGTAAAATAACCAATCTCACGGCCAAAAACCCCATGTTTGAATTGGGTAAGTGTGCATGCAGAGACTGAGAAATTGGTACGTGTACATTTCACCTAAGGTTTCAGTTTGATATTTATAGAATTATAAGGCATGAAGAAGTCGGATATAATCTCCGACGATGACATCACTTCCTGTTTCTTTTCTTTTCTAGAAAATTGACACCAAAAAAAAAAACAATCTATAAAAAAACTTACAAATCCAAATACATTGGGGTGGGAATTTTATGCGGTCTCATGCAAAGTCTCCGATCATAAGTAATTTTATGGGTATGGTAAGTGCATTATTATTTTTATTTCAACCAAAATTACTACTCAACGCTTAAGGAGACATGAAAAGATTTGAACCTGTAATGCAAAGGAGTTGTAGAGAAATTGTTGTGATTGGTTCATATTTTGAGCTGGCAACAATGAAGTAACCTGTGTTTTCTTTCGGTGGAAATATCACATGGTGAGGGCTGCATGAAAGTTGCAGACAAGTGCTGCAAAGTAAAAGCAAAAGTGGACAACAAGCCAAATGCATTTCGGCTAGTAAACTAAACAAAGAAAAGTTTGGTGGACATCATTATGAGTAAAGACACAATGATGATGCTTGTAAGAAAATAGAAAAATGTGGTTGCTTTTGCTTTAATGATTATGAAGAAATGTGATGATGGATTGGACTTTATTTAATGCAAGGAAATGCTTGCATTATGTGTGCTTGCCGAGGGAGAAGGCTTGCATCAGGGAAGCATCCAAGGAGATGGTGAGAGCATTTGGCTCTACCATGGGAAAGGTTGAACATGGGTTGAGAGAAAATCAAGAGAGTTAGAGTGAAAAGTATTCTAGTGAAAGAACTCTTGGGGTAGAGTGAGGCTCTTGGAAAATTCTATGAGTGGGTGTACAAGGGATTTAGGATTAGGTTATGTCGATTTAACTCATGTGTACTTGTACTGTTATTCTCATAGTGAAGAGCAATATCTCTCTGGGGACGTAGGCAGGATTTTTGCAGAACCTCGTAAATTTCTTGGTGTCTTTATTTCTTGTATTTTATTCTGTTCAACTGAGTGTGATTTGATGAAGTTGTAATCTGAATCTCGTTTCTGCACTGACGAACGGGCCAAGGCACAACAGAAATATCATACCCACAACCCTACACTAAGTAACTTTCCTAGTAGCTTCTCCACCATCGAAAATTTTCTCGTTGTGAAGGATGTCGTGGACAAATGCCAAGTCTTCTTGAAAGAAAATTCAAAGTCTATCAACATAATGGTTGGAAATTAAAGTCTACATGGAGAGATTCGATTGTGACATTTGATCACATAATTACAAATGTAACTATGTTCAACTTGTCACACTTGTGACTAGTGACTAGTTGTCAACTTGTCAAATGTAATTACAAATGTTTTTACATAAATAGGTTTATGGAATTCTATGGGTTCTTGTTTCTATTTTGACACTTGTAGTGAGAATCACAATACGCGTACTGGTAATTGTATGGTTAGAAAGAGAAATATTGGCAGGGATACAACAGCGTATTGGACCCGAATACACCAGTCCTTTGAGAGTTCTTCAAGCTCTAACAGATGGGACCAAACTACTTTTCAAAGAAAATCATTTTTCCATCTAGGGGATACTCGTTTATTCAATATCGGGCCATCCATAGCAGTCATATCAATTTTAGTAAGCTATTCAGTAGTTCCTTTTGGATATCACCTTGTTTTAGCATATCTCAATATCGATGTTTTTTTTATGGATTGCCATTTCCAGTATTGCTCCAATTAGACTTCTTATATCGGATACGTGTCAAATAATAAAATATTTCCTTTTTAGGTGGTCTACGAGCTACTGCTCAATCGATTAGTTATGAAATACCATTAACTTTATGTGTGTTATCAATATCTCTACACGTGAAGGAGCAAATGAGAACCTTTCGTAGCGTCAACGTTGCAATATTTATACTAGTAGTGTTTTTTCGATTTTAATGATTGTAATTATGGATTATAATCCTAGATTATAATGCATGATCCTCGTGGCCTGTGTATATGCATGCCAAGTCAATTAACAATTCATGGACAATTCTACACGTACCTCTTATGGAGTGAAGTGTCAAATTTTCAAGGACGCCAAAAAGGTTGTTGACCCTGCTTTGTTTGAATCAAATCATTCAATCCAAAAGGCTGTTGTTGAGACACTCCCTTTGTTAAATGCTGACGTGGCATGGGGGGGACAACGGATGGGATGGGGAAGATGGGAAGGATGGGGTTTCGGCATTTTTGGGGGGGGGGGGGGGTGGGGTGATGGGATATGGGTTTTGTTTTGTTATTTTGTTTTGTTTATTTTTTATTTTTTAATATTTAGTTAATATTTTATTAATTTATTATAATTTTTTTAATAGAAAGTGGGTCCCGTTTCATGCCACGTCAGCATTTAACAGAGAAATTGACAAACAACTAACGGAAGGTATGACATTACAACAAATTCGAAGATAAGGTATGACATTGATACTTTTTAAAGACGATATATGAAACTGTTAATAACCCAATAATTGAGGTAGTTTTATATAATTTACCTAAAAAAAATTTAATTTTCTACAGTTATTACTATATTTGGTCTAATTTTTTTTAGAAGAGCAATTTCTAGCTCCTATACTGCATCAAATAGCAATAATTAAACTTATTTGTGCTTTGATATTACAAAAGTGGCACAAAATCATATCGTGCTTAATTAATCATGCATTTGGACGATCGATCCATCTAGTAGCAATTACCCCACTCTCCAATTTAGAAAATAAGGAGAAGAACATGCCTCCACTCAACCACTACTTTTCTTTTTTACTTATCTTTAGACAATAACTAAGCGTAAGGAAAGAGGTAGGCAAAAGAAGAAATAAATGTGCTTTCTAAAAAATAAAAAAAAAAAAATAGAAGAAATAAATGTGATCCACGGTGGTTGGTAGGCTCTGACTAGGGAATTGATCATTGCGTCCAATGAGGTGGAAATAGATTCTCTCCAAATCTCTTCCATCAAGATCATTAGATCAAATGATTTGGGTCTTTTAAATTTCATCAAACGGTTAAAAATTATTATATATTTTTAGAGATCAAAACAGGTGAGTCATTGGATGAAATTTTAAAAGCTCAGATCACTTGATCCAATGGCCTTGGTGGAAAAGATTCAAAGAGTATCTCCTCCCCAATGAGGGAACTCACTCTGTCCTTTGTTAACTTACCTCTAAACTCAAAAATTAAAGTAATGCTGTGAGTTTTTTCGACCACTAGAAGGTTGGATTATCATGGTAAAGTAACCAGCTAAATTTTTATATTTTAAAAAGTTCAAAAATTAAAAAATTAAACAGTTATGGGTATGGTTAACCATTTATAAACAGTTATGGGTATGGGTATAACCGTTTAGGCAATTACCCAACTGGTAAACGGTTATGCGGGTATGAGCATAAATGGTTATGGGTAAATAACCGCGGTTACCCGCCCGCCATAACCGTTGCACATCCCTATCAGCAACATAACTGTTTGGACTCAAATTTACACCATCGGCCGTGTAATCGAGGCCGTTGAGTAAGCATAGTTCTCAACTGTCGGATGAAAAAGTGAAGATATTTTTGTTAAAGGATAATATTATGGTTTTTGTCACAGTAATTATTTTTTAATTTGGATTATCTTAGCATTATATCTTCAAACAAGTACAGTTCGAGTGAACTTGGGATTACTGCTATTAGACTGGAGAAACTTGGTAGATGAGGTTTGAAAAGTCATGGTGCATGCACGGATGGATTATGGAAAAGCCTAGATAGGCTTGGCTCTGGTGGTGATGTGATAAGTCTAAGATTTAATAGTCTTAGATAATGATGACAAGCCTAGGTAGGCTAGGCTAGGCTATGATGATAAGACTTTTATTTGGATAGGCTTTTGTGAGGTTTGGAAAATTGTGAACATCTATCTGAAGGATATGGTAATTCTCTGATGCGGATTAATTTCAGTTCCGCGGAAAAGAATTGCAGTTGGACTCTACAAGCACCATCAGGTTGTGCCAGGTAGATATCCAACGCTATAAATACATAAAGGTTGTGCAGCATTGAGGGCCTCGACAATTTCAACACATAACTGCCTGCGCAAATTCTCTCAACAACCTTGAGATTTTTTTCTTTTTTCTTTTCGCTGACACACCTTCAGTTTGGATAAACAGCACTGTGAAGGCAACCGGTGATATCTTCAGTTGGCATAAACAGCACTGACGCCGTAGAATCAGCCGATCTCGCAGCATCTTCAGTTGGCATAAACAGCACTGCGTTGAGGGCGACTAGTTATTTATCCAAGTCTTGGTCGAGAAGGATTTCCGAATCCTTATTGGTCGAGGTCATCTCATCAGCCTTCTCGGCGAAGTGAGGTGTTACATTTTACTGGGCTCGGCAATTTGCACGCCGAGTTATTTTATGATTGGATACTCACAAGTGGGATTTAGAGTTCGGCATTCCGACGGCCGAACCACGTTTACTGTTAAGACTTATATTCGCTTTGAGTATTTGTACCCTTACACTTTGGTGTCGATTCGGCATGAGTTCACTCTGACGAATACCATCACTGTGACCGAATCCGACGACGACGATTTGTGAACTTCGTAAGAATAGTAGCCTTGTCTTCAGGTTCGAGAACCCAAGAGGCCGAGATTGTTCCTTCCTCGGTCGCAATTGCAAGACGAAGTCAGCCGCACGCTCAACGCAACGTCAACACATTTTACTCATCGGCCGTTGAGTTGGCACGTCCCGCATTCAACCGAATGACGTAGTTAGCTCATAGATTACTCGGTATGCGCACCACGTAGGCTTTGTAGTTTTTAGGGTCAACATAAACACAATTAGTGACTCTAGAAAGATAAAATTTGCTAATGTAACATATATCTTATTAATTGGGAGTTGGGACTAGAGTCTAGGATTAAAAAACTTATATGAATTTGGAAGAAATTAAATTAGGCAGCTAAAGGCGGTGGAATGGCAAATGGTGGTGGGGAATAGGGTAATTTGGGTTTAAAGTTGGAAGGTTGCGACGATTGAGGCTGAGAGTTCTTAAATATAATTTGGGGATATTGGAAAAGACCGGGGTTCTCGGGCTCTGTAGAGGAAATAGAGATATTTTACTTTTTAAATTTTTATAATGACCAAGCTAAAAAACGTTGTCGTTTTGGCTAGGTCTTTTAAAACAAAAATTAAAAACCTCTTCTTCTTCTTTGTTATAAGCACTGTTGCCTGCACATCCATGGAGGCAACAAGCCTCTCCACTACACCTGCCCAAATTGTTGGAGGGTCCCGAAGGTCGATCACAAGTGTTTCTTTGGGCTTCCGAAGGGTCCCGGGTCCCTACATGGATCCGCCAGTGATCTTACTATGTACTTAAATTATAAATTCACGTACGTCTGAGACAAATTTACAGTTTGACAAGAGAATACTTCCTTATAAACAATGTATTTCCTTGCCGGTAGGTTCTGCACTTGTGAAAGTATCAAAGGAGACGATCGATGCAGTGGATGAAGTCGGAAAGGCGATCGACGGAGATCTGCTCAAGTACTACAAGAGCTTCAAGTGCACCCTAACCGTGACTCCCAAGGGAGACGGGAGCTTGGTGAAATGGTCGTCTGTGTATGAGAAAACACACGAACAGGTTCCCGAACCAAGCATCATCAAGGATTTTGCTGCCAAGAACTTCCTGGAGCTCGATGCCTATGTTCTGGCTAATTAATTATTTGCAAGCTTAAATAAGCTAGCTTTGGAGATCATTGGAGTTTTTACTTAATATATAATGGCCAAATAAATAAGATGAGTCGAAGTATGCATGCTAATGCACAAAGCCGGTTTTATCTAAACCCTAATCTGTAAGCAGATTGCACCCTATATTATTTTGGGTTTGGATCTTGTACTTTATATGCTAGTAATGTTTCAATGTTTGTGTCCCCTCACTTTTACTTTTATCGCACGTACAATTTGAAAGAAGAAAAAGAAAAACATGTCATTACTTCATACTCATTTAACCGTAAACGTTTAATACCTGTTTACTTATTTACCCTTTTTAACCCGTTTATCTTTTTTTTTTTCATTACCCCTTTTTCACCCATCTACATATTTTTTAACAACTTGAAAATTAAAAAAATTTGTCATAATTTTCTTTTTTTTTTTTATAATTAAACACCGTTATAGGTACATTCATCATACATTTTCGTATTTTAATTTTTTAAGTCCTTATACCATTCCAATAATTGAAATAATAGTTTACATACGATATTTTTAACTGTTACCAATGAAGGTAAATATAATATTTGTTAAGTATTATTGGGTTACAAAAATTGTTTAGAAGACATTTTTGTCAAAGCATTTCTGTCAATTTCACGGTTACCCGCAAGGAATTTAAATTAATTTGACGAATTCCTTGATGATGAGAATCATCATTCCTGTAGCAATGTTATTGAGAGAATGACCGATGAATTCCTCGCTAATTTATTGGGAGCTAAGTATTATTGGATCGAGAACATGGTTTGTGTTAGTTTTACATATATAAAATAAATGGGTAAACGGTTACCCGTTTATAACCGCAGTTAATACTCATAACCGTCCATTTAAATTTCGTAGGTAAACGGTTATACTCATAACCGTTTATTTATCTAAACGGTTACCCATAACCATAACCGTTTAATTTAAATGGGCGGGTAACCGCGATTACCCATAATCAATGGGTATTTGTCCATCCCTAGTTGTTGAGGAGAATTTGTTGGTTTTATTACCCTTGAGATTAATCTTGATTTATTCTATGAACCAAATTCAATAGAAAATAGTGATTTAGAACCAAATTAGTCTAATATATATATATATATTTTTTTTTTAAGCTTTTATGTTGGAACCTCCTGATCTTGAAAACCTGGATCCGTCACTGAGTAAGATAATATATGCATGTAACTACCTTCAGCATATTTAATAAGCCGAACGGATCCAATAGCTTTGCCATCGCCTTCGAGGAAATCGATGCTTTTGTAGTCATGAGGAAATGCCCTGGGGAAGACGGTGGAGTCCCTAAGGGCTTCCCAAAACTTTTGTGCAGGAGACTTCACCTCAACTTCTACTTCAAGCTTTCCATCACATGAAGCCATTTTATATATATAGATGTGGTAGCTTTAGCTAGAACAAGAATGTAATCAGAGGAAATTGACTGATTTTCTTAAAGAATTGCTTGAGATTTCTGAGAATAGGGATCCATATATATACTAGTTTGAGTGCTTTGGAGGTCTTAAATTCAGTAAGAATAAGCTCAACTGCCACTTTATTAACCTCCCTCAGAAACACCACAAAAACTGGTAGCTTTCACATGCATCATGAATGTGCAAGGAATGGGAGAAGGGCCCAATACTTTAATTGCTGTATAGTTCCTAGGTCGTAATTAGCCCAAGGCCTTTTGAAACTAAGAAAGCACAAGTGAGGACCTGCATTTGGCTCGGGCAATGGAGGGAGACTTAAACCAGCCCAAACGTCGATTAGGGGTGGCTTTTTCCGTGTGTAGGTCGTATCGGTTAGTTAGTTCGACGATCGGGCCTCATAATTCGATTGTGGTGGTGAATTTGGATTATCGTTGCATCTCATTGTTTGGAGCCTTGGGAGACTAGAAAATTTGGATAGTTCAAGAGAGAGAAAGAGTGACTAGGGTCTGTAATTTGTGTGAAGTGGGCATGGGTATTGAGTTAATAAGAACTGTCAGATTCAACTTGTGTGATCCGGATTTCTTACTCTTTGGACTCTAAATAGTGAGAACCGGAGAGGATCTATGTCCATAATTTGGAGCTCTCCAGGCATGGTCTTTAGGCATGTGTAAGTGGGTAAACTAAGGAGCTCTTCATGCATGGTCTGAGCCAAGTATTATCTAATTTGCAACCCTTCCATTTCATATGCTGTTCTTTTGTTACATTCAAAGGAATCCACCTTCATCACTTGGGAGAGATTCTTGCACACACGTTCGTATGCGACACCTCCCATCATTCGTGTGTGAGTGTCGATGCATACGAATATGTCGGTGCTGGAATTTCTCTCACTCACACAACCATAAGCTACGACTCTATACATTAGACCACGAGCGTAAATGTACATGCTATTCCAAATACAAATAAAATAAAAAGAAGGATGTACTCTCCTTAAAATGTCCAGACGTACCTATCTATTCCAATGAAACATGCTATTCCAAATACAAATCCAACACCGACTCCGGCAATAACTCCTGTATAATCCTTGCTCGATTTCCCGAACCATGTTCGCAGAGGAGCATCCAGTCCTGCTGGACAAGGGGAAGCATCGTATCCGCAAAGACTGTTCCCTTCAAAGCTTGAACTTGAGAAGGTCGAAAACTGACCTCCTGTAGGGATCACCCCATATAACTGATTGTCTGCAACGCTAAACTTGGACAAGAAGTTGAGATTGACCAGCGAAGGCGGGAGTGTCCCCGAAAGCTTGTTATGAGACAAATCCAGAGTCTCTAAGTTGGACATGCCAGATAAACTACTCGGAATCGGTCCTGCTAGACTGTTGAACTTGAGATCCAAAACATGAAGCAATTTCAGTTTCCCAAACTCGGGCCAGACTGGTCCGCTAAGATTATTGTTACTTAGTCCCAGCGTCGGTGGAAATCGCCACACTTGATTGTACTGCAACGCTCGTGCACTTACATTCCTCTTCATGAGTAGAAGGAAATCAGGGGAAGGTTCCTCAATGGAGATCCTCCCACTATTGAGGCTCGGTAATCCAGTTAAGCTTATAGGGATTTCACCCGTAAGTGAATTATTCGACATGTCCAAGTAGAAAAGACTGCTAAAATTGCCAAACCAGCCTGGAATTGTTCCTTGCAATTGGTTCCACGATATATCCAAAAATTGCAATCTGCTGCTAGTACTCAACCATTGAGGTATTACACCTGTGAGCCTACAATTTGCAATAATAAGAACCTTCAACTTTTCAAAATGAAGGGTCGGATCAGCAGGAAATTCTTCGCCGCGGAAGTTCAAGGTGAGAACCAAAGTAGTCAGGTTCCGGCATTGCTGTAAAATTTGTAAGGCAGAAGAGATATTGGAAACGCTGGAATTTGACAGCGAGAGGTAAGAGAGGCTATGGAAACTCTTGAAGCTTTCTGGTATTTCGCCCGTGAAGTTGTTACGGGCAAGATTGACATTATTCAAATGTCGACAAGAGGGAAGATTGGAGGGAATAGGCCCATCAAACTGATTGGAACCGAGATCAAGAGTGGTCAAACTAGTCATTGCTGAACAATTAAGATCAATTGTGCCCTGCAATGAATTGTTTCTCAAATTAAGCAAAGAGATGGTCGAGGAACTCGACAAGAAAGGGGGTATCCGACCACCAAAACGATTTGAATGGAATACAAGATTCTGTAATCTTCCAAGCCTGTGGAAAACATCTGGGATGGTTCCTGAAAATTCATTAGTTGAGATATCCAAATGAACAAGATTAATGAGGTTACCGAATTCTTCGCTGAGCACCCCGGAAAGCTTGTTATCTTGAATGTTCAACTGGGTTAGCTTTCGCAGACGAAATAGACCTTCGGGCACACCGCCATTGAAATTATTCATGCCTAGACGGAGGTCCTCCACGGAAGTACAATTGCCAAGACCTGGTGGGAGGTTGCCAGAGAAGTAGTTCACAGCCAACTTCAGTGCTCGAAGCTGAGTAGACTTGTCACAGATGCTGGCCGGAAGGGTACCATTCAAAAAGTTTTGAGAAATTTCAAGCAACCGGATTGAAGGCAATTCGATATCGAAAGGAATGGGGCCGGAAAAATCATTAGAGCTCAAGTCTAAGAACTCTAAATTCGGCAAATGGAAGAGCGAAATTGGAAGCGAGTGTTTGAGGAAATTTTGAGAGAGATTGAGGGTTCTAAGCTGGTCCAAAGTGCCTAAAGATGCAGAGAGATTTCCCACTAGCCTTCTCTTTGGAAGCTCCAACTTAACCACTCTATAAGTATCAATGGAATCGTTCAATCCGAGAGAGGAAGAAGAATTGCAAGTGATGCCTGCCCATTTGCAGCAATCAGATGAGAAATTGCTACCCCACGCATCAATCACAGAATCTATACCGTTCATGAAATCCTCCAATGCCTTCAAATCATTTGGATTGCATGTCAGGTTTTGAGAGCTCGAAACCCGAGCTTGTAAGCAAAACCCAATAACAAAAATGAAAACCCAGAAATCTTGAGCACCCATTTCACAGAAACACACCCTCTGGAAGAGAGAGAGATACAGAGGAGAGAGTATGTACAATCAAGTAGCAGCAGCAGCAGCAAAACCCTTGCCAAGAACCAAACTTTCTGAGGTGGGTTTTCTTGTATCAAACATAATGTCCGAGAAATGAAGCAAAAATACAAAATTCAAAGAAATAAAGCAGAAAAGTAATAAAAAGAGAGAGTACAAAGACGAACCTGACAGATAAAGAGAGAGCAATGGATTTGCTTTTGATCCTTTTGACTTCAAAGAAACCAGGTTTCGGCGTTTTTTTTTTGTTTTTTTAATTAATTTTTTAATATTTAGTTAATATTTTTTTCATTTTTTAATTTTTTATTAATTTTTTTAATAGAAAGTGAATCTCTTCTCATGCTACATCAGCATTTAACAGAGAAATTGATAAACAAGTAATGAAATGTATGACATTGCAACAAATTCGAAGATAAGGTATATATAAACTTTTTAAATTATCCAAAAAAAAATTAATTTTCTACAGTTATTACTATATTTGGTCTAATTTTTTTAAGACAGCAATTTCTAGCTCCTGTACTGCATCAAATAGCAATAATTAAACTTATTTGTGCTTTGATATTACAAAAGTGGCACAAAATCATATCGGACTTAATTAATCATGTCTTTGGACGATCTATCCATCCCGTAGCAAATACCCCGCCCTCCAATTTAGAAAAGGAAGTAACTTCGCAGCTGAACATTTCAGCAGAAATTTCAGCTTACATCCAATCCCTAAAGAATACGTGTTCAAATTTTAATTAAAAAAATCAAAATTTAGATATATGTTCACTTGAAATTAAGTGTAAGTAAGATCTCTTGCTGAAATTTCAGCAACGAAGTCCTATTAAATAAGGAGAAGAACATGCCTCCACTCAACTCAACCACTAGTTTTCTTATTGACTTATCTTTAGACAAGAACTAAGCGTAAGGAAAGAGGTAGGCAAAAGAAGAAATAAATGTGCTTTCGTAAAAAATAAATGAAGAAATAAATGTGATCCAAGGTGATTGGTAGGCTCTGACTCGGGAATTGATCATTGGGTCTAATGAGGGGGAAATAGATCATCTTCGGATCTTTTCTATCAAGATCATTAAATCAAGTGATTCGAACATTTTAAATTTTATTTAACGGTTAAAAATTATTATAGCTTTTAAATGATCAAAACAAGTGAGCCGTTGGATAAAATTTTAAAAGTCTAAATCACTTGATCCGGTAACTTTGGTGAAAGAGATCCAAAGAGTATCTCCTTCCCAATGAGGTAACTCACTCTGTCCTTTGTTAACTTACCTCCAAACTCAAAAATTAAAGTAATGCTGTGAGTTTTTTCGACCACTAGAAGGTTGGATTATCATGGTGAAGGAACCAGCTAAATCTTTATATTTAAAAAAAAATCAAAAATAAATAAATTAGAAAAAAAGTACTGCTATTCCAAATGACATGTTTTTCTTTTTCTTCTTTCAAATTGTACGTGCGATAAAAGTGAAAGTGAGGGGACACAAACATTGAAACATTACTAGCATATAAAAGTACAAGATCCAAACCCAAAATATAATAGGATGCAATCTGCTTACAGATTTGGGTTTAGATAAAACCAGCTATGTGCATTAGCATGCATACTTCGACTCATCTTATTTATTTGGCCATTGTATATTAAGGAAAAACTCCAATGATCTCCAAAGCTAGCTTATTTAAGCTTGCAAATAATTAATTAACCAGAACATAGGCATCGAGCTCCAGGAAGTTCTTGGCAGCAAAATCCTTGATGATGCTTGGTTCGGGAACCTGTTCGTGTGCTTTCTCATACACAGACGACCATTTCACCAAGCTCCCGTCTCCCTTGGGAGTCACGGTTAGGGTGCACTTGAAGCTCTTGTAGTACTTGAGCAGATCTCCGTCGATCACCTTATAAGCAACCGCCTTTCCGACTTCATCCACTGCATCGATCGTCTCCTTTGATACTTTCACAAGTGCAGAACCTACCGGCAAGGAAATACATTATTTATAAGGAAGTGATCTCTTGTCAAACTGTAAATTTGTCTCAGATGTACGTGAATTTATAATTTAAGTACATAGTAAGATAATATATGCATGTAACTACCTTCAGCATATGTAATAAGCCGAACGGATCCAACAGCTTTGCCATCACCTTCGAGGACATCGATGCTTTTGTAGTCATGAGGAAATGCCTTGGGGAAGACAGTGGTGGAGTCCCTAAGGGCTTCCCAAAACTTTTGTGCAGGAGACTTCACCTCAACTTCTACTTCAAGCTTTCCATCACATGAAGCCATTATATATATATAGATGTGGTAGCTTTAGCTAGAACAAAAATGTAATCAGAGGAAATTGACTGATTTTCTTAAAGAATTGCTTGAGATTTCTGAGAATTAGGGATCCATATATATACTAGTTTGAGTGCTTTGGAGGTCTTAAATTCAGTAAGAATAAGCGCAACTGCCACTTTATTAACCTCCCTCAGAAACACCAGAAAAACTGATAGCATTCACATGCATCATGTGTGTGCAAGGAATGGGAGAAGGGCCCAATACTTTAATTGGTGTTTTTGGTTTGCAGGAGTCATTTAAAAGAAATAGGAAAATGTTAAACCTAGCTACAAATTTGTAGTTTGGCAGTGTTTTATTATATCATAAGATATTAATTAAAGGAGTATTCACATTTTCAAATCAATTTTCACAATTATTAGAAAATTGACTGAAATGGTGAGTTTACAAAATTCAAATTATTGAAATGTATCAACATTGCAAGTGGTTTGTAGTTCAGCTGATTAAGAATATATTCACTCTTTGACTTGAAGTTCCGTGTTCGATTCTTCTTTCCCGATGAATTTAGTGTAAATTAACTTATCATTCGTCAAATTTTTTTATTGAAATGTATCACTTTTCAATATTTGATTGATCCGTCATTAATGTTAATTGATACCTTATTAATGTTTGATCAATTTATTGTCAATATTCGATTGATATAACGTCAACTTATGTATCGTTAGTATTTAAGTTTGATCTGTTCAACAATTGAGTTATGTAACTCAATCATTTCATACAATTTTCAACATTATGTACCTGGTGTATAGATGATATTAACAGAGTAGGACGACTCACCTAAGTTAGAGGCGAGTTTGCTCAACACTGCAACCATATATGAAATGGAAAAGACGATTTTCAGATGAATCATTAATGTTGCGTGAGGACGTATGAAAAACATTATTGATATTAATGCTATCTTATTTCTTTTCACTTTTCTTGATGTTGCTTCTTTTTTCGTTTTGTTTTGTAAATTAGTTTATATTTGATGTGTCAGAGATACGCCTCGCATTATTTACCCATCTAATAAACACCGAACCAGATAATCAATTTTGTTCGATGCACAAATTAATCATTTAACTAAATATTTGATACAATTCGAAATATCAAACGAGACGTTAGGATTTACGTGAGCATACACGTTGTAATGTCCTGGCCTCCTTTTCACACAACCAGAAAAGAATTGCTATTCATTTGGTCTAGAATCTAGAAAAAGTTCATCGTTGGCACACACACACACACACAACTATCACTTGTGGGATTCTGGATAACCTTTTTACTTTTTATCACTCCCATCGATCGATATGTGATGCTTTTGAGTAACTTCAAAAATATAGGAACTGGGAAGTAACTTCAAAACGAAAGATTGGAATAATATCAAACTTTTGGGTCCCATTTGGGTGTTGATAGCGACTGAAATTATCATATTGCTCCATGTCAAATTTTCAAAAATTAGAAAATAGTAACAAATAAAACAACAACAAAAAATGAGATGAACAGATATGAAAGCACCCTCTCAACTGCAAATCCTTTTTTTTTTTTTGAGAAATTAAATCGTAAAAATGTAAGGAACAAGAGCTGTTGCAGTAGCTTCAATTTCCTTGTCAAACAACTTCCCCATCATCCAATATTAAGCAAGCAAAAGCAATGCCCAACTTTTCCTTTTTCTTTTTCTTTTTCTTCAAGGACTTGTTTGTGCAGTGAGAGCTACCGTTTTAGGGTTGTTGGTGGATGATTTGTTGAGTACTCTCCTCTCCTAATTTAACTTCACTTGCTCTATACGTACACTCTCGACCCAATTCTCGTAATATATATATTTTTATTCTTCTGTATATTTCAAATTACGAAAATTTCGATTTCGTTTTCTACCCTCTCATGCATTTCAATCCTCAGTCCTGAGAAAAAAACTGGATCAAACTTAAAGAGACGTTATGCCTTTCGGTTTAGTTTCGGCATGGAACAAGCGTCGGCGGTCGAAGTCCCACGACCTTACAGACCCTTGTATGTTCTTTCCTCTAATTGTTCTTTTCTTTCTTTGCAGCTTTGTTTGCGGGTGTTCGTTTCCAACGTTTTGTTATGATTTGCGTGTGATCCCCTTTCAGGGATTTATAAACCGGTGGAGTACTGGCAGCTCGAGGATCAAACCCCCCAACCGACGAAAAGACACCATCATGGCTCGTCAATTTTCACACTCAAAGAAATGGAAGAGGCAACGTGTTCCTTCAGTGAAGAAAATCTGCTCGGAAAAGGAGGATTTGGGCGTGTATACCGGGGAACTTTGCGGTCAGGAGAGGTATGTTTCGTTGTAGGAATGAGTTTCTGGATTTATGAACAACTCAGTTGTCCAGGCGCATACTGATGTGTGCTCTGTTTGGGAATGTAAAGGTTGTAGCCATCAAGAAAATGGAGCTGCCTCCTTTCAAAGCAGCTGAGGGAGAACGAGAATTTCGGGTGGAAGTAGATATCTTGAGCAGACTTGAACACCCAAATCTGGTTTCTTTGATCGGCTATTGTGCTGACGGGAAGCAACGGTTTCTGGTGTATGAATATATGCAGAAAGGGAACCTGCAAGATCACTTAAATGGTTGGATTTCAACTAGGAATGCATACATACGCTTAATTCACGTGCGAATAACTAATCAGTTTGCTAATCTTCGGAACAATTAATCAGTTTGCTAATCTTCGGAACAATCTTTAATCGTACGACAGGGATCGGGGAAGCGAAAATGGATTGGCCTCGACGGCTCAAGGTGGCACTTGGAGCAGCAAGGGGACTAGCGTATCTGCATTCTAGTTCTGCTGTCGGGATTCCTATTGTTCACAGAGATTTCAAATCCACCAATATTCTTTTAAGCGACGACTTTGAAGCAAAGGTAAAAACGTGTTGCTTGATTTGAAATTTTGCCTCATGTTGGTTTTGAACTTTGAACAAAACATATAGAGCTGAAATTTAATCACGATTTCATGTAGATATCGGATTTTGGACTCGCCAAGATGATGCCGGAGGGCAAGGAAATATACGTGACTGCTAGAGTGCTCGGAACATTCGGCTATTTTGATCCCGAGTATACATCGGTACGCATCTTTGAACATTCCATATGGCTGCATTAAATTTTGTTTCTCAAACAATATAGTCTATCAAAATTCATGCATTCTGCAACTTCTCTGTGTTCAGTACTGTAAAAAATGCGAACAAAAACAATATGGTTTGACACAAAGGCGGATTTTCTCCAGAAATTTCATAAGCGACATGTTTATATGCTTGTGATGCACACTGCTTCCTGTAATTTTCACTCTTATTCATTTAATTCACAACCACCCATCTCAAATGAATGCTTGTAAGAAATTTTGATCACACTATTCATAAAATAAAAATAAAACAATGTTACATAACAAGAGGTGTATTTGGAAACAGACTGGAAAACTCACTTTACAAAGTGATGTTTATGCATTTGGAGTGGTTCTTCTTGAACTTCTGACTGGACGTCAAGCCGTTGACATTACCCTGGGACCAAACGATCAAAACCTAGTGCTACAGGTAGAGTATATATTTTCTCACTCCTGCTTATTATGCTGGTTAGGTACATTAGGTTGTTAAAGTAAACACGACTAAAGTTCATATGTTTCAGGTAAGACACATATTGAACGACAGGAAGAAACTGCGTAAGGTGATAGATTCTGAGCTGAGTCGAAGTTCATACACCATGGAATCTATAGCTATGTTTGCAAACCTGGCATCAAGATGTGTGCGTCCGGAGAGCAGTGAGAGACCCTCCATGGCAGAATGTGTGAAAGAGCTCCAGTTGAGTATCTATACAAATGCGAAAGGCTTGGGAGTGGCCGTGGCTCCTAACAAACACATGTTCTAATTGCAGGATGAAGATAAGGTACAACATAATCAAAATCCTTTACTTCTGCTAATAAAAGAATTGTTGAATCTTCAAAGCTTGGTGACCTATGATCTCAAAAACAAGACCCACGAAGAGAATTTGATAAGGATTGAGAAATACAGAATGCAGTTGAGTAGATATATTAGACAGAATTCATCACAAAACAATCAAATTGAAGTTGGTTTTCGTGTACAAGATCAAGAAAGCCTACGATGTAAATTAATAATGAATGAGATTCCAATCTAAGAGGGGATCATTTTCTTGTATCACTATGTTTTGGAAACTTTGTAACCTTTCGTAAATTATGTATTGTAAACTCAGAGTATATGTAATTTGTACTTTATATATGTCTTCCGTACGAGCCTACAAAGTCGCAAGGCAGAAAGAATAATACTACTGTTTCATATATATCTATTGTTCCCTACTCTATTTACTTGAATCCTTCATCCTTCCTCTATTTACTTGAATCCTTCAATATCTAACACACGTGTACCAAAACTAGAGTGGATATGGTCATTGAACTATATGTGTTTGCATTAAGGTTAGAAGTCTAGGTCCCTAGGACTACATACAACATACAACAAATAGAAATGACTGCTGAGATTACCTGCAACAAACCAAGTCTCTACCATACACATTACAAAATGCAAGCAATCGGCACATAGGATCAAGCATTCTACGCAAAAGACAACCCAGCTGGATAATCTTGACAACCTCAAGGCCTTTAATCATCTATCCTGAGCAAAGCAATGGATTTAAGGAACAAGGCAACAGTATGAGATTTACTGCATAATGATTTATCAATACAAATCTACAAAAAAGATTATGGCAGCAACTGCATGTACCTCAGAGACACATATTATCATTTTCACATAAACAGTCATGGTGTTAATTCCTCTTGAGAACAGAACGTGTCCGATTCTGAAAAGTTGGTTAAGACTGGAAGTTTCTTGCACATTAAGTGCTTGCGCCTCTGCAACAGCAACAAAACCAAAATGGTATCCGTCTCTACAATGTCGTATCCTGCTTTTTTATACATGTTGAATGGAGCTGTATCAATCATCCTGCAATGCAAGTACACCTCTCTTGAGAAACTCATCTGCGAGATTAGTTCCTCGCTTGCTTTCAAAAGATGCCATCCAATGCCCCTCCTGAAAATTTACGAAGTCATAATCTTAAATCAAGTCTCATTTGAGACACAGTGAACTAAAGCTTTGTCTTTTCAAATCTGATGTTATATGTGGGTAGTTTTGTGATCATTCAGTTCAAAAAACAATACAATTACGAAAACCAAACGCATTCAATCTGCGAATTACGACAAGAATACAATGCAATGGAATTATGCCGAGCAGGTAACATGCCCAAGAAACAACAATTGCTAATGTAAAACTTCAATTGGGGAAGCAAAACAAACCTCCGAAGCGATTTTTTCACCGCCATGTTGCTAATGTAAGGCGAATTCTTGGGAGGAGTTGGTGTAGGAGGAGAGGCAACGGCACCCTTTTTGTTAAAGCAAACTTCCACAGTCCCCGCCAAAAGCTCAACTTCATCTTCTTCTTCTACTTCTTCCAGGTGTTGTTCTTCTTCTTCTTTGCCCTCTTCTTTTCTTCTTCTGTAAAACGCGATGAGCGTGGCGGTGTTGGGAAGAAGCTCCATTCTTTCAAACAAGTACTGCTTGACCAAGTAGCCCAGCACAGACACATACCCAGAAGGCAAAAGCATCGACTCCGCGAACGACTCGGCGAGCAACCCGACGGTGATGTCCAACTCCTCCGGCCTCATCACCCGAACCCACATCGACCCAGATTCCAATTCCTGGTAGTACCTGAAATCCTCGAGGAGTTTGAGCTGCTCGAGCTCTTCACTGCTCAGAAACTTACCTGTTCTAAGAGGGTATTCGAGAAATGACGAAGTTGTTGAAGTAGTAGTATCGGAATCAGTAGTGATGGTGGTGGAATCAGTAGTAGTGGAATCAGCAGCTGTGGTGGTGGCGGTGGTGGTGGTGGGAGAATGAGATGGGGAGGAGGAGGCTTTGAAGGCGAAACGGTCTGATTTGGGGAAAATAGAAAGTGGGTACTTGGGGAGAATAGTTGAGGAGGTAGAGGGAGTGAAGGGAATGCTTTGGTGGGGTTTGAAGTGGTGGGTGGCGGAGAAGAGATGGCAGTGGTGCTGGTGCTGGTGCTGGTGGTACTGCTGTGGATCCAAAGAGAAAGAGAGCGAAACAGTTGCAGCCATGGAAAGCAGATGAGAAAGCAAAACGGTTGCACTCGCTTGCTTCTATTACTTGTTTGTGTGGAGTAGAAATCTTCTGCAATCCCATTTTCTTCTACTTTTCCTATGGATTTTCCTGTAAACTGCACAGAAAAAGCTGTTATTTCTGCTCCAAAAGATAACTTCTTGCATAAGCCCATTGGAGTTTGGAGAAATATTTAGGGACACAAGCAACATAAAGTCAACTTTGGGGCTGCTGACATCTAAAGTCCCTTCACAAATGGCCCAAAATCTTTTTTTTTTTTTTTGAACAAAGGTAATTCATTACCAACAAAGCACACAATATACAACAATAAATAGAGGCCCAATACAAATAAAGCACAAAACTAAAATATAGACCTCAAAGCAAATAAAATATCCACCGCGTTTTGCGGATTTCGCGGAAGGTGTGTAGAGCTATTAAGCTCGGGAGCTCGCACCACCTTCTTCCATTTGTGTGCCGATTTCGGCACTGTTGTATGTGGGATGTCTTTCCTACCAACTTCCTTTCTCTGATGGCTATGGATTTGAGTTTTGTGTCCTTTCCGTTTCGGAGGCTCTATTTGGTTGATGTTTTGGTGGCTGCAAGAGGTGATCATTCAAGGTCGGCGGATCTGACGGCTTCAAAGTTGCTAGGGTTTTTATGTTTCTGTATTTTTGTTTTGGGCTCAACCTTTGATTTGGCCCAAAAACTTTGGTAAGAAAGAAAGATACTTATTTTTATGGTCGTTCAGATTAAAGAATTTATTTAGATTTTAAGACCATTTAGATTGAAGAATTTATCCTCAAACATTAAAAATGCTCAAATTTGTCATTTTATTGTCTATTTTTTCATACAAGCAAAATCAAGAGGTAGGGATTCGAACCCAAGACATTGGATGATAGATCTATTGAATATACCATTTTTAAGGTGCATATGTTAACATATTAGCCAATTGAAGTAACTAACTTTGGATAATTGAGGGTATGTTGAAATGGTAGAGGGCTTTTTCTTTTACCAATTGGAAGGTGAGTTACTTTTGTATGCACGAGAAATTGAAACTACTCCATATTATTACATAATACTTTGAAACTTTAAGGCATTTCCATTTTTTTTTTCGGTTTAGAAATGTCCATAAAAGTTGGGAAGCAAGACACAATAGGAAAGATACAAACTTGCAACCACACAAATTCTCAAAAGGAGAAATGCTTGGCTCCTTAAGAATGAGGAGGAGTTCCTAGTCAAGATACTTTGTGGTCGATTCACAAAATTTCATGTTTATAATCAAAACCGTTCATATTATAAATCATTCTATAAAGATTATCTCTGGAAAAAATCAATTAAAACTAAGATCGTTTAGTCAATCGATAAAAGTAGATAAATAAACGGTTTGTAATTCTTTTATAGGATCCGTCCATATGTTTTTATATAGTTTGATGACTAAACAATCTCATATTTTATTGATTTTTTTTTTTTTTTTTTTTTTTTTTTTTTTGCAAATATGATCTTCACAGAATAATTAATAACAAAACGGTTTTAATCATGAGCACAAAATTCGGTGAATCAGTCCTTGATTATCTTCAGGAGGATCTCCTTAATCTTAAGGATTCCTGTTAATTATTTCCGAAAGGCTTTGACAAAAAAAAAATTATTTCCGAAAGGCTTGGAACACAATATGAAGGCTGAAAAATTGTAGTAAAAGTGGCAAGATTTACAGTATATTTGGAGTTCTCAAACAAACTACAGGGACTTGCCAATCATCTATCAAAATTCTATACCACTTCTTCCAATTCAACTCAATCGTACACCTTCCAACCGTATAGATTGTAATCTGTGGAACCCTTTATTTTTTTATTTTGTTTTTCTTTTGACAAAAACTAATCTAATTTACAAGGAGAAGATCCAAACGTGGATGTAACGAAGCAAACACACCAACCGGCCTAACTCACGTCTTCGTATGTGCCCCCCTCAAAATTTCTCCACCACATCTTCAATCAACCCATTCTTGTCTTCTTCCATTACAACAGAGAGCCCAAACAAAACAAACAATCGATGCAGATTGTCTTCCTCTTCTTTGGCCTTCTCGCAGCTTCATAACCACCACACATACTGGGAACAAGAATGAAACAAACAAACAAAACCGACCAATGATTCTGTAATAACTCACTTTGCTCTCCTTAAATCTTGAGAGAAACTTACCCACAGCGGGGATGCCACTGCGTCACTGTTCCCAACCAATCAGGAACCCAATCAGCAAATGGAAGTGCGGCTTGGAATACCACCACAGTAGCATCACCGTCACGTGGAAGTTCTTCTCCTCCATTCACTTCCCCTGATTCCATTTCTTCATGACCTCCAGCAGAATCTCATTCCATGTGTCAATAGGCCCTGGCAAGCACCAATGCACACAATCATTCTGCACCCTCTCAGGAACCCCATCAGCAAATGGAAACTTATTCATGTAAGGCCCTGGATGCCCATCTGGCCTCATCATGGACAATTTAGTCACATCCAATGCCTCCAACCTAAACCCTACAAATTTCTCACCATTTGCCCTAGCAGCCTCTACTTCTTCCACCTCCAGCTGCCTCATCTCAGCATCCATTCCTTCAAGCTGCTTCTCACCCTCCTTGTAGGGTTTGGTCTTTGAACAAGCCCCATTCTTGTCCCATTCCCCTTCAAAATGCGCAGGCGAAAACGTCGTCAGAACCACATCAATCCCACTCCCATTCCCTCTCCTCTCAATTATGGTTTTGAGAGTAGTCCTCACAGCTTTCCTCAACACATCATAGAATTCAATCTCAGTGTGGTTTAATCCAGGGCAAAAATGGCACCCCAGAACATCATCCCCCTCAAAATACACTGCTGGGTGCAAAAACCAATGCCCAACTGACAACACAACCATATCAAATCCCCCCAACTCCGCAGCCCACCTCTCATTCACTTGATCCAAATACAATTTATTATAATTTGGACCATTTGGTGATTTCTCAACCCCTTTCACAAGAAATGGTGACCAATAAACTGACACATTGGCATTGTGGGATGGAAAATTCCATCTCCTAAACTTGTTCTCCTCCCCATCTGTGTAAACAAGGTTGGGAGGAGAGGCAGTGGCAAGCATGCAGAGGAGGGACTCCAACTGGTTCCTGGCCATGGAGTCCCCCACAAAAGCTATGTGCTTGTTCTTAATAAGATGAAGAAAAGTGCTGTCAAACCTGGGGAGCTGGCACTTGCTAGGTTTCCACCTCCAGTAGAGATAACCCAAATCAGTTCTTCCATGGGTGATGCAGTTCTGACCTTCCTTGATTGTCCCACAGGTTGTGCCATTGTACAAAGGGCCCAGCTTCTCATGGACCCATTTGCCCCTAGTGTAGTCACATGAAGGTGTAGTTTCTTTAGCCCTTTCCTCTTCTGCACACAGAAAAAACCCAACAAACATTCAGGCAAAATATTTGTTATCTATGATAAAGATTCAAACTTTAAGTACCTAGAAGAAAACCCAACTGGAAAAATTAAAGAAAAGCTACTGCAGACAAAAGTGCTTTTAGTAAGTACCTTGAGAGGAGGAAATGGGGGGCAATGGGGAAGGAGAGGAAGAATAAGAGGAGGAGGAGGTTGAGATGGTAATTTCAGTGGAGTGAGGGAGGTGATCTGTGGAGGAGAGAGAGAGAGAGGGAGTGTATAAGTACAAGCGGATTACAGCAATGGGGAGGAGGACATAGATTGCATAAGGCAAGAGCTTTTTGGCAAGAGATGATGAGTGATGATATTGGTCTTTGAAAGGGCTTGTTGTTGTTCCCATTTCAAAGACTGTTTTTCGCTTTTCTTTCTGGTAAAATGCTTAATCTATCAGCTGAGAGGAAGAAAGAAAAGTGTTTTTTTCTTGAGCTGGATTAAGGTTTAAGAGAGAGAAAGTGAGGGGGAGAGAGAGAGAGAGAGAGAGAGAGATGCTTGTTTGTGGGGTGGATTGATTCAGTCAAAGACGCATGAGAGAAACCTTCTCTCTGGTTAGCCAACTAATTCCAAATCCAGACCATTTTTTTGGTTTTGTGATTGTTGTCTTCACGCCTCTTCGCCACATGTGGTGCTCTGCTTCTGCTTTCCCCTTTCTTTTTTCAGGTTTTTTATTTTTTTTATACATTCATTTTTGGGCTGCCTTTTTTGTTTTCTTCAAACAAAAGAATATTATTATTTGTTCCGTTTCTTTTTGTCTAGGATGTGTAGGTAATACCTACTAGGTATGTACATTGTTGGTAAAGTTCCTATACTCTGTACTTTGGGACAGTAAAAACCTCAAATTGCCCTTCCTTTAGTGGAACATTTCCTTATAACCAGAGGCTGCGTGAGGATATGATCGTCTTTGAGCCGTAAAGTGTGTTCTTTAACCATTGCAATTATTGATAGCTTTGAGCCCTAAATAGAATTACCTTAAATGTCTCACCATTTTCGTTAGTTGCTTCATCCTTCTTTAAAGGATTTTGCTCCATTGTAGCTGAAGCGTGATACTAGATAACATATCAATAGTCATCAGTTAGCACATTGATAAGATGTGGAAATATATCAAAATTATATCAATATGTTGCAAAAACATGTCAACATCTATATCAACACCATAACGACATCTGATATCGACTAGATATCAATAGTATTTGATCATATATAGGCAACAAAGTATTCACCTTCAACTACCGTCAGGTGAAATCCCACTCATGAAAGGGGAGAGTTTTGAGTGAAATTGTTGTATGCGACAACACACTCATATGAGACCAAAACTATTAGTATATGAAATCCTTTTGGTACATGTCAATGACTTAATGTTGATACTGATTGTTCGTTGGATCATAACCCTAAATGGATGGTTAAAGTTTCTAGCTAGTTCTAGATCCTTCATGGAAGTAACTCCTTGGTATTGACTCTTAGCAAATTAATTACCATACCAAAAACCACCTACTTGATTTTTTTTTCCAAGTAAAGCCAACTATGTTATTTTTAAAATGTATCTACAAACTATCCGACTCATAACAATCATGTGAAGCTAGCTAGATAACAGCCTAAAGAGAGGGATATTGCACCTGCATCACATATTATATTATTATTTATCCAACATGTACTGTTTTTGTCGTGTCCGTTCATCGTAGTGATCAGTTTTTGTTAAGTGCTATTTATATTTAATTTTAAATAAAAATATTTAAAATAATTTATGATTACACGATGTACGATGAACAAATATAATTCACGGATCTCCATAATTTTCATAAAATGAATCCGACGATGATCCAAATTCATTATTTATGTCACTCTCTTACCTACTCATCATCACTTTCACATCATATATTAGGGCATGTTTGTATATATTTTTCACATGATTAAGGGCTGGTTTGGTATTGCTGTGCTTTGAAAAAAAGCTGCTGTGAGAATAAGCGGCTGTGCTGTGAGAATAAGCGGCTGTGAAATAAAGCCAGTAGAGTGTTTGGTAAACTTTTTTGTGAAAGTGCTTTTGGAAAAAAAATCAGGATGATAGTGTGTCTTTTCATTAAAGGAGCATTGTAGCTCTGTGTGCTTTGAAAAAACTGGCTTTTTTTCAAAGCAGCAAATAGCAGCTTCAGCTTTTCCTTTGATTTTCAGCTTATTTTCACAGCAGCTTCCAAAATAAGCCCTTTTTTTTCAGTTTACCAAACACAAAAATGACCCTCAGTTTTTTTTCACAGTGGCTTTTTTTAAAATCACCTCAATCCCAAACGGGGCCTAAGCCATTAGAGTCGGTGGAGTAATCTAACATGTATCAACCTCAAATATAATGACACGTGCATTCCTCCTTAATTGTTAGCATTTTGTATCAAGCACTCAAATTATCATAATTAAAAGTAAAACTTGTTTTATTGGACAGAACTACTTCTTAATTAACGGGAAGAAATTCAAAAATGATCTGTGTATAAAAATACCAGTACAAAAAGGTCTTAAACAACAATTTTAGAGTTTGTTTGTAAAGTGTTTCGGAATGACTGAAAACGCTTTCAAAGAAAAAAAAAATTAAACCAAATTTTAGTAAACATGCAAGTTAATTATGGAAGAAGCACTTGTAGACATCGAAATTTCGGTAAATAAATGTTGACCGATAAATCAAAGTATCAACGCTCATGTATTACATAAATTTTACACGGAACGTGTGACTCAACGAAAATTGAAATGAGTTGGAAAAGTCATCAAATAGGACACGTGTCAACACCTGGCAGAAACGACTTATTTCATCTGGGATATTATATTCAAAATTAGGCCTTGATAAATTCTATAAATACAAGCCCATTTCATTCATTTAGGAGGAACCAATTCATATTACACCTTGAAGCTCTGAAGCTCTGAAGCTCTGAAACTCCGAAGCTCTCAAGCATCCAGGTTCCCGAAGAATCAAGAAAGCCTTCTTCGTTCTTCGTTCATCGTTCTTCCAAGATCAAGCCCCAACGGCCCTTTGGATCAACAATCATCCACCAATTCAAGATCAAGCCCCGACGGCCCTTGAAGAAAGTGTTCTTCGTTCTTCGTTCATCGTTCTTCCAAGATTAAGCCCCGACGGCCCTTGGATCAACCATCCACCAATTCAAGATCAAGCCCCGACGGCCCTTGAAGAAAGCACCATCGTTCATCATCCGTTCATCCAAGATCAAGCCCCAACGGCCCTTTTGATCAACAACGTCGACAAATCCACACATCCAATCGTTCTTCAAGATCAAGCCCAAAAGCCCTTGAAGATCCGTTCATCACCGTTCTTCAAGATCAAGCCCAAAAGCCCTTGAAGATCCGTTCATCACTGTTCTTCAAGATCAAGCCCAAAAGCCCTTGGAGATCCGTTCGTCACTGTTCTTCAAAGATCAAGCCCAAAAGCCCCTTTGAAGATCCGCTCAAATCCACCTTCAAGATCAAGTCCACGGCCCTTGAAGAACGTTCATCCTTAGATCAAGCCCAACGGCCCTTTGGATCAATCACACATCCACAAATACACACCTTACGAAGATCGAATCAGAAGATCAAATTTAAGAGAGATTGTAACCCAAAATCATCATCAAATACAAATATTTGTTTGTGCGCGTTGTTCTTGTCTCTTTCATTTCAGGAATTTTCCGTGTTCACAAATTGGCACGCCCAGTGGGACAATCTCTGCCTCTCATCTCTTTCTCCGTTCAAGAAATTCGAGCACACTTCCAAAATTAATGGCATCAAGGAAGGCTCAAACTGTTCCCGCAACCGCCGCAAAGAACAAAAGCGTCCTCGTCGCAACTGGTGTCACTTTGGGCATCACGACTCGAAGCATGGCAAGAGCTACTTCTGCCGCCTCTTTCACCTCTGCATCAACTCTGCCAAGGGAACAAAAGCACCCAAGGCACGAGCCTTTGATCACCTTAGCCTCACTAAGGGCACCAAGGGGGGAAAGCCCAAGGAAATACTCCGAATCCATGCTCTCCGAAGCCGATTCAAGCGACAGTTCAGCCATGCAAGTCATGACTATTGGAGCAACTTCAATCGATGAGCAGTTGGCTCAAATGAATGAAGCAATCGCAAGGCTAACCCGAATTGTGGAAGAAAAAGACTTGCAAATTGCAGCACTAGTCAACCGACTGGAGGCGCAGGACGACGATAAACCCGACCCAGAGGATGATCCACTAAAGGGAGGAGCTGGCGAAGACGAAGAACCCCCGGTGAAGAAAATCGATGGGAAGCCGGAGCCAGACCAAGCAGCGGCACTCATGGGATCTCTTTCTATCCAGCAGCTGCAGGAGATGATCACCAACACCATCAAGGCACAGTACGAAGGGAGCTCACATACCTCCTTGTTCTACTCGAAGCCCTATTCCAAGAAGATTGATGCCCTAAGGATGCCAAGGGGTTATCAACCACCAAAGTTCATGCAGTTTGATGGAAAAGGAAACCCAAAGCAGCACGTTGCACATTTCGTCGAAACTTGCAACAACGCGGGGACGGAGGGAGACTACTTCGCCAAGCAATTTGTGCGCTCGCTGAAAGGAAACGCCTTTGAGTGGTACACGGACCTAGAGCCTGAGTCCATCAACAGCTGGGAGCAATTGGAACGGGAATTCCTTAATCGCTTCTACAGCACCCGCCGCACTGTGAGCATGCTAGAGCTAACGAGCACAAAGCAGTGGAAGGACGAGCCAGTCATTGACTACATCAACAGATGGCGCACTCTAAGCCTCGACTGCAAAGACAGGCTCTCGGAAACCTCTTCAATCGAGATGTGCATCCAAGGCATGCAATGGGGTTTGCAATACATCCTTCAAGGCATCAAACCACGGACCTTCGAAGAGCTAGCCACCCGCGCCCATGACATGGAGTTGAGCATCGCCCATCATGGGAAGAAAGAACCGATCGCCGACTACAAGAACGACAAAGTTCTTGGGCCAAAGTTGGAGAAGACTGCGTGGAAATCCACCAAAGAAGCAATGACAGTCAACACAGCTCCCGTCAAGATCCCTACACGAGGCAAGGCGATTCAAGCCGAAGGCTTTCGTGATCAAGAGATGCGTAGACGCACTTTGAAGGAGCTTGAGGAGAAAACTTATCCATTCCCCGACTCTGATGTGGTTGCCATGTTAGAAGACTTGCTGGAAAAGAAGGTGATTAGTTTGCCTGAGTGCAAACGGCCAGAAGAGATGAATCGCACTGACAGTCCAAGGTACTGTAAATTCCACCGCTTCATCAGTCATCCAACAGAAAAATGTTTCGTGCTGAAAGATCTCATCATGAAGCTGGCTCAGAAAGGAATCATCGAGCTAGATCTTGACGATGTGGTGAACACAAACTATACCACCTTCGCTTCTGGCTCTTCCGACTCGAAGTTTTCACCTCAACCGCTGGGGGCATCCTCCAAGACAAGCAAAATTGAAGGATGGACTCAAGTCACTCCTAAGAAATTGCACAAGAAGCATACGTCTCATCCACAAGTCCACCAATCGGAAAGGGGGCAAAGCAGCTCTTGTCAACCTTCAAAGCAACGTGAACGTGTTGAAGATGATGAAATTACGACACAAAAATCGTCCGTTGCCATCACGATGCGCGACTTCTTGCCCGAAG